ACGAGATGTCCATCTTAGGTTTGGGATGACATACAAATGGCCCAATGACGGGGTGGGGGGTGGGGATGGGATGGGACATGGGGTGGCGGTGGGGGATGAGGGTGGGGTTGGGAGAATGAGGGGTGCTTGGTTGAAAGAGATGAGAGGGTACGAGGCGTAGGAGAGACATAGGGGATATAGAGAAGAGGTGAGGGATGGGTACGAAGAGAGTGGAGAGTGAGAATTAGAATGAAAGCAGAATGGAGAGAGATAGAATGGGTGGAGAGATGGGGTGGGTGGAGAGATGGGGGATGGGTGGTGGTGAGATCGGGTGGGGGGTGAAGATGGGGGATGGTGGTGGAAAGACATGGTGGGAGATGGAGAGGTGGGATGGTGGGTGGAGAGATGGGTGGGGGTGGGAGAGATGGGATGGGTGGGTGGAGAGATGTGTGGAAGGGTGGAGAGCATGGGGTACGCAGGTCGGAGAGATGGGGTGAGGGGTGGAGAGATGGGGTGAGGGGTGGAGAGATGGGCTGAGGGGTGGAGAGACAGGGGATGGGGGGGTGACTGTCCCTGCTAACTCAGCCTTTCTGGACTTCAATGACTCCTACTCGATTTTTGAGGCTCCTGGGTTTTCACGGCCATCCTCTCACCCCCTCAAAACCCAGCATTTGTTGGGGACCCCCCCAGCACCAAGGCGGAGGACCTACCTCCCTGGGCACGTTGTCAGGCCCCACGCAGCCTAGGGAGAGGGAAGAAGCAAGGCCTGTCAGTGGCGCTCTCACGCGCAGGGCGCTGGGCGCAGCCCCGTGGCCCCAGCCTCTCGGACACCCGGGAGGGGCGCGCGGCGGCAGCGCGAGGGAGCCCCATACCGCAGATCTCCACGCAGACGTCGAAGCCGGGCGCGTAGCTGGTGGTGCCCTGGGGGCAGAAGCAGCCTTCCACCAGGCCGGTGCTGTTCTGCTCCGCGGAGCTGGAGGGCGAGGGGGCGGGGCCGTCAGACGGCGTGGGCGGGGCTGCGCCGCGGGGCTGGTGCCGGGGACGGGGGCGCGCCAGACCCCACACCAGACGCACTGCCACAAGGGCGAGCCCGCGGGCTGGCGGATCCTTCCGCCACATACCTGGACTTGCAGGTGGGCTCCTCCGTGGGACCGCAGGCCCGGTACTCCCTGTGAGACGGGCACGTGACCGCTGCCGGAGAAACGGGGGACCAGGGGGGCCGGTCAGGGGAGGAGCCCTGTACCCCTGAGGGCTGGCGAGGCCCAGCGCCCAGCGGCACCCCCCCACCCCCAGCCCTGGCACAGCCTTCTCAAGCTGAGTGTGGGTGCGGGGCTGGCGGGACCCCTCGCACTCCAGCCCCTGCAGCCCCCCAGCCCCAGCCCTGGTCCCTCGCAGGTGTCCCCGGCCCACCTAGCTCCAGGCCAGGCAGGGCGCCCTGCGGGCCCCGGGGGCGGGGCGGGCACTTACGGCAGGCGCCGTGGGTGTGGTTCCGCCAGTCAATACAGGCGCCCTGCTGGGCACACAGGGCCGCGTAGGTCTGCAGACTGGCACACTCCATGCCCGTGTCGGGCACGAAGCAACTGTCGAACAGGCAGGCCTCGTAGTAGTGCTGGGGCGGCACGAGGGCGTGGCAGGGCGCGAACACGCTGTGTGGGGAGCGCAGGTCACGTTTGGGCGCCCGGCGAGCAGCACCACCCCCACACACACACCATGCTCCCCAGCAAGCCCCCTGCCAGGCCGCCCTCCTGGGCCCGCTTGGCGTCCAGAGGGACAGGCGGCCATGGGGGGAGACCACACTGCACCCGGCGGCGCATCTCAGTGTCATGGTGCCAGCGACCCCCTCACCCCCCCAGCCCTCGCAGGGGCCCCCAGCTGGGCACGATGCCCACACCTCTGGGGACAGGCACTCACTCCCTGTGGCTGCCGGCCTCAGGAGCACCCCCCACCGCCGCCGAGGCCCAAACCTGCCCCCCACACCTCTGAATGCCAGCTCTGTAGGGTCAACTGGTCCACCAGGGGCGGGAGAGGCAGAGGAGGTGGAAAGGGTGGGGGATGGGTCTGCCAGGGCAGCCCCCACTCCGGGCAGCTGGGGAGGGGCCACGTTCGCGTTCGGCTGGGCGGGTCACCTGTCCTTGATGAGCTGGCAGAGTGGAGACTTGGCACAGTGCTCGGGGAGGGCCGGTGGGGTGCCGCCCCCGGGCAGGGTGGTGGCCGGGCGCTTGGTCGTGAAGCTGCCGTGGGGGCAGTGCGGTTTGGAGGGATCGTTCACTATCCACTGATCAGCCGCGATCTCACAGTTGGACACGACCTCCCCGCTGGGCAGGACGCAGTCATCCGCGGTGCTGTTGGTGCAGGTGCCTGCGGCAGGAGAGGGGCCCTGTGGCGCCGGTGTCGAGCCCAAGTCCCCCGCAGACCGGACGAGTCCCTTGGTGACCGGCTGGGCCAGGGTGACCGCGGGCAGGGTCGGGGCCAGGCCTACCCTGCCGGCTCCGCACAGGGGCCAGATGCGGGGGAGCCGGCCACAGCGGCCCAAGCAGGGGCACAGGGGGCACAGCCGGATGATAGGGCCAGGGCAGGGGCCAGGCACTCACCACACTGGCCCTTGGTGTTGTTGCCAAACAGGCGGAATGGCAGCCGGATGGAGAAGGACAGGCCGTTGTAGGAGACCAGGGCGCCCAGCTCGGGGATGTCCACCACGTAGTTGATGCCCGACTCGTACACCTGCAGCCCGTACTTCTTGTAGGGCAGCGCCACCACCTGCCTGTTGACCTGCACCTGCAGCGACACCACAGCTGGTGGCTGCCTGGCTGCTCTCCCGGATGGGGGCGCGCCTGGCGGGCAGGGCCACCACCCGCCTGCTCTCGGGCCCCCACACCCTTTCCTGTCGCCTCTCTGGCTCCCTTTCCACCTGCAGGAGCAGCCCAGGTGGCCCCAGGTGGCCCCAGGTGTCAGCCCCAGGGGGAGGGCACTTCCTGGGCTCCCATGCAGGTGCTGAGCTCCCCTGGCCCCTCGGCCATCAGAGCCAAAGATGCCGCACAGGAGGGAGGTCTCGGCTGGGCGTGTGCAGAGGGAGGGAGCCGGGCCTGGCGTGGGGGACAGGTGGGGACAGGTGGGGGGGGCTGGGAGAGGCCCCGCCCTCTCTCACGGGGACAGCTGGGGTCCCCTGGCCCGGTCCTCTGCCGCTTGGGGACCGCCACATGGCAGAGCCCACGACGGCCACGGCCGCGCCTGGCGTACCTGCACCTCCATGGGCGCCATCCGCAGGGTCTTGATCAGCACCTCCTGGGTCTCGTGCCGAACGATCAGAGTTCGGGGGCAGGAGACCTTGTCGTTGACGTCGCAGTGGTAGTTGTCGATGTAGACCCCGAAGTTGTCCACCGTGGGGGTGACCTCCTCCACCAGCACGTAGGTGCAGTTGCCCTGGTAGCTGTAGTAGAGCCCGTCGAAGGTGACGTAGTGCGGGTCCCCCCAGCCCGTGCAGTAGCCTGTGGAGGGAGGTCCGTGAGCCAGGCGCAGCCCCGGCTCCGGGCGTGCGGCACGCCTGGCGCCCCAGCTAGAGCTGATCCGACTCGGCCCCGGGCTCCCCGAAAGCAGGTTTCCCGTCTGCCCGTGGGGGCCCACTCTGCAGCGAGGGGCTGGAGCTGGAGGCAGGAGTCCCGGGGTTCAAAGCCCACTCTGCCCCCGGGACAGCGGAAGCGTCCTTGTTCCAGGGAGGTGCCCTCACTCCACCAGGCACGTCCTCGGTCCACCTGGCCCACCGTGGGGTCCTCCAATCAGCAAGGAGGTCGGTCTGCACCCGGGGAGCCTGGCCCCCACACCCCCGGGGGGCCTGCCTGCAGCCACGGAACTCACAGTCGCACTCCCAGTGCCAGCAGCAGCCGTCGGGGTCCGGCACAGGCACAGGCTTGAGGCCGTTGGAGCAGGTGGGCATGGGCGGGGGCTCGCACTCCACCTCCACGATCTCCACCGTGTTGTCGTGCTTGCAGATGGCCATCAGGCACTCACACAGCCTCCAGGTCTCGTTCTCCTGCAGGCGGGAGGGCGAGGGGCAGTCAGTGGGGGGCCCCCGTGCCCACACAGGAGGGGCTGGGCTGTGCTCTGGAGCCTGAGGGGCTAAGAGCCCTGCCCGGGAGGCTGGAGGCCAAGGGGGCCTTGTTGCAGCCGGCCACCTCGATAGGCACGGCGGGCACAGTCAGGGGCGGTGGGCTCAGGAGACCCTGCACCTGAGAGGCTGCTAGAAGCCTCAGACCTCGGATGGGGCCTGCACACTCGCTGCCAAGAGGACAAAGCCCCCCGTGGCCTGCTGACCTGTCTGGGAGGATCAAAGTCAGGGCACCCAGGGGGCTTGGTGGTGGCCGGCGTGCTGGGCGTCGGCTTGGAGGGCGTGGCCGTGGGCGTCGGCTTGGAGGGCCTCAGCGTTGGGGACGGCGTGGACGGGCACGACCAGTTGTAGAACTCAAGCTCGCAGCTCAGCGAGCAGTTCACGTAGTAGCACGTGTCTCCGTGGGTGCCGTTGTACACCAGCTCGCCTGCAAGGGGAGGGAGCCCCGGTCCTCACCCCGTCCAGAGGCACACGCTGGCAGGTCCCCACGGACGGGGGTCACAGAGGGAGGCCCCTGTCCACCGGAGACATGCACCCACTGCCAGCATCCGGCTTCCTCGGCTGACCCCTCATGCACCAAGAAGACCCAGGACCAAAACCAGCCTCAGCCGCACAGGTGCTAGGAGTGAACCACAGGGTACCTGGCGCGTAGTAGGTATCGTTGAGGAAGCAGCACTTGAGCTGGGTGGAAGCGCTGATCTGGGGGCCGGTGTTCACGCTGATGCTGGGGGTGGCGATCGGCGTCAGTGTGGGGGTGGGCACCCTGGAGGAGGAGGTGCTGGAGGTCGTGGTCGAGGGCAGGGCCGGCCGAGTGGGAGTCACGACAGGGGTGGTCGACACAGAGGGCGGTGTAGGTAGCCCGGTCGTAGTTCTGAGGGTGGTGGTTCCTGGGAGAGTGCAGGTGGGGGTGAGGGCTGGGCGTCCCTGTACATCTTGTGCCGACACAGAGACCCACGGGGGGAGCTGGTGCTCCAGGCGGCACCACGGCTTGCGGCCCAAACGTGCTGCTGTTAAGAGGTGGCTGGACAGGGCTAGGTGCAGGATGCTGGTCCATCTGAGAGGTGCCAGGATGGCTGGCTGTGAGGGCTTCAGGGAGGGCAGAAGCAGGATGCCCAGGGCCCTCGCTGGCAACCCCTGCCCCACACAGCTCCCATGGGAGAGGCTTTGCCCATGAGGCCACCTCACACAGCAGTGGGCAGAGGGGCCTGGGCAAGGCAGCTGCACCTGGGGAGAGCCTCAAGGTGGGAAGCACAGTGGCCTCGAGCTCTGCTGCCCACGCCACCCACCGCCCAGTGCTCCCCAAACACCCAGCAGTGGTGCTCAGTGGGCAGGGAGGCACACAGAGCTGGCCTCAACCTTCCTGGGGCAGGCTCTTAAGCGCAGAGCAGGCACTGGCACCGGGCAAAGTTCCAGGCAAGAAGAAAGGAATGGCTCCACGTGTCTGTTTACCTGGAGAGGCCGTAGTGCTGCTGGGTGTGGGGACCTCGGTTCCCGGCGATGGGGAAGGGGTGCTGCCTTCTGCCGTTGTAACCGTTGGTGCCGTTGGCGTGGAGGGCACTGGTGTGCTAGAGGTCTCCAGGGAAGGCGAGGAGGTGCTCTGAAGGGTGGTGGACTCCGTGGAGAGGGAAGAGGTGGACGGAAAGGTCGTATGGGGCGTGGACTCAGGTTGGGATATGGGGGTGGTGGACTCAGCAGTGGGGACTGTGCCTGGAGGGGTTGGGGTCACTGTCCTTGTGGTGGTGGGAGGTGTGGTAGTGGTTGGGGTCCCTGTGATGGTGGTACCAGGTGTTGTGGATGGTGTCTCTGTGGTGGTGGAACCAGGAGTTGGAGGTGTGGTCCCTGGGGTGGTGGTACCAGGTGTTGTGGATAGAGTCCCTGGGGTGGTAGTACCAGGTGTTGTGGATGGGGTCACTGGGGGGGTGGTACCAGGTGTTGTGGATGGGGTCCCTGGGGTGGTGGTACCAGGTGTTGTGGATGGTGTCCCTGTAGTGGTGGTACCAGGAGTTGGAGGTGTGGTCCCTGTGGTGGTGGTACCAGGTGTTGTGGATAGAGTCCCTGGGGTGGTAGTACCAGGTGTTGTGGATGGGGTCCCTGGGGTGGTGTACCAGTGTTGGAAGGGGTCCCTGGGGTGGTGGTACAGGTGTTGTGGATGGAGTTCCCTGAGTGGTAGTGACAGTTTGAGGGTGTCGCTGTGGTGGTAGTAACCAGGAGTTGGAGGTGTGGTCACTGTGTGGTGGATACCAGGTGTTTGGAGGAGTCCCTGGGTGGTGGTACCAGGTGTTGTGGATGGTCCCTGTGAGGGTGGTACCGTGTTGTGTAGATGCGTAGCTGTGGTTGGCGGTACAGGTGTTGTGTATGGAGTCCTGGAGTGTAGTACCAGGTGTTTGGATGGGTACTGTGGTCGTGGTCCCAGTTTGTGGATGGAGTTCCGGGGTGGTGGTACCAGGTGTTGTGGAGGGGTCCTGTGGTGTGTACCAGGTGTTGTTTGTGGAATGGGTACGCTGTGATGGATGTACCAGAGGTTGTGGATATGGGGTCCCTGGGGTGGTGGTACCAGGTGTTGGGTTGGACCCTGTTGGTAGGGTACCAGGTGTTGTGGAAGGAGGTTCTGGAGTGGTGTACAGGTTGTTGTGGAATGGATCCTGGGGTGGTGGTACCAGGTTGTGGATGGGGTTCCCTGGGGGGTGGTACCAGGTTGATTTTTTTTTTTTTTTTTTTTTTTTTTTTTTTTTTTTTTTTTTTTTTTTTTTTTTTTTTTTTTTTGTGGATGTCCCTGGGTGGTGGTACAGTGTGTGGAATGGGGTCGCCTGTGGGTGGGGTACAGGTGTGTGGATGGGTCCCTGGGGTGGTGTAAGTGTTGGTTGGGATCCGTGTGGTAGTGGAACCAGTGTTGTGGATGGAGTTCCTGGGTGGTGGTATAACAGGTGTTGGATGTCCTGGGGTGGTGGTAAGGTGTTGTGGATGGGATCCCTGTGGTATGGACCAAGGTGCTTGTGGATGGGGTCCTGGGGTGTGGACCAGGTGTTGTGATGGAGTCCTGTGGGGTGGTACGCAGGTGTTGTGGATGGGGTCCCTGGGGTGGTACCAGGTGTTGTGGAATGGGGTCCCTGTGTGTGTACAGTGTTGTATGGAGTTCCTGGTGGGGTACCAGGTGTTGTGGTGGTCCTGGGTGGAAGGGTTGGGTGGTCCTGGGAATAACAGGAAAACCCTGTGGTGTCGGTACCAGATGTGTGATGGGTCCCTGGGGTGGTGGTACCAGGTGTTGTGATGGAGTTCCCTGGGGTGGTGGTACCAGGTGTTGTGGATGGAGTCCTGTGGTGGTGGTACCAGGTGTGTGGGGGGTGGGTGGTGGTAAGGTGTTGTGGGATGGCCCTTTGGTGGTGTACCAGGTGTTGTGGATGGAGTTCGCTGGGGTGGTGTACCAGGTTGTGGATGGAGTCCCTGTGGTGGTGGTACCAGTGTTGTGTGGTCTGGGTGGTGGTACAGGTTTGGATGGGTCTGTGGTGGTGTACCAAGGGTTTGTGGGATGGGTCTGGGTGGTGGTACAGGGTTGGGATGGAGTTCTGGGTGGTGACAGGTGTTTGGATGGGGTTCCTGGGGTGTGGAGTGTTTGGAGGAGTTGTGGTGGTGGTCAGTGTTGTGATGGGTCCATGGGTGGTGGTACAGGTGTGTGGATGGGATTCCTGGTGGTGGTACAGGTGTTGTGGATGGGGCTGGGTCGTGTAAGGTTTTGTGAGTTCTGGGTGGTGTAACCAGTGTATACAAATGGATGGGGTCTGGGTGGTACTAGGTGTTGTGGATGGATCTGTGGTGTGGAAGTGTTGTGATGGGGTCTGGGGTGTGGTACCAGTTTGGGTGGGGAACCGGGTAGTGTACAGTGTTTGGATGGAGTTCCTGGGTGGTGGTACCAGGTGTTGTGGATGGAGTCCTGGTGGTGTAAGTGTTTGTGGATGGAGTCCTGTGGTGGGTACCAGGTGGTTGTGGATGAGTTCCTGGGGTGGTGCTCCAGGTGTTGTGGATGGGTCCCCTGGGGTGTGGTACCAGGTGTTGTGCATGAGTCCCTGGGGTGGGTGGTACAGGTGTTGGGATGGGGTCCTGGGTGGTGGTACCAGGTGGTTGTGGATGGAGTCCCTGGGGTGGTGGACCAGGTGTTGGGATGGGTCCCTGGTGGTGGACAGGTTTGGGTTGGGATCCCTGTGGAGTGGTACAGGTGTGTGGATGGAGTCCTGGGGGTGGTACCAGGTGTTGTGGATGGAGTTGGTGGTGTAAGTGTGTGGATGGAGTCCTGTCGTGGTGTACCAGGTGTTGTGGATGGGTCTGGGGTGTGGTACGGTTTGTTGTGATGGTGGTGGTACCAGTTTGTGATGGGTCTGGTGGTGGTACCAGGTGTGGGTTGGGATCCTTGGCTTGTGTAAGGTGTTGTGGATGGGTCCTTGGGGGGGGGGTTGGTGGTACCAGGTGCTGTGATGGGGTGCTGGGGTGTGTACAGTGTTGTGGAGGGTTGTGTGGTGGTACAGGTGGTTGTGGATGAGTCCCTGTGGTGGTGGTAAACAGGTGTTGTGGATGGGGTCCTGGGGGTGGTACCAGGTGTTGGGGTGGGATCCTCTGGTTGGTACCAGTGTTGGATGGAGTCCTGTGGTGTGGTACCAGGTGTTGTGGGATGGAGTCTGGGGTGTGTACAAGGGTGTTGTGGGATGGAGTTCCTGGGGTGGTGGTAACCAGGTGTTGTGGATGGTGTCTGGGGTGGTGGTACTAGGTGTTTGTGGGGCCCTGGGTGGTGGTACCAGGTTTGTGGATGGTGTCTCAGGGGTGGTGGTACCAGGTGTTTGGAGGAGTTCCTGGTGGTGGTAACAGGTGTGGATGGGGTCCCTGGGTGGTGGTAACAGTGTTGTGTATGGGTCCCTGGGGTGTGTACCAAGGTTTGTGGATGGGGTCCTGGGGTGGGGTACAGTGTCTGTGGAGGGGTAGCGTTGTGTCAGGTGTTGGCGTGTGATTACTGTGGGTTGTACTGGTGTTGTAGATGGGTAGCTGGGTGGTGGTACCAGGTGTTGGAGGTGTGGTTGCTGCAGTGGTGGTCCAGGGTTGTGGATGGTGTATCCTTGGTGGTGGTAGCAGGGTCTGGGTGGAGGACGGTAGGGAGGGCCGTGAGGTGGTTGTGGTGTAGGTGGTGTCCGCCACACTTACAGCAGTACGTCATCTCGTATTTGATGCAGAAGGATGGGATGGGCCCGCCGGCTTTTGGTCCTTGTTTTGCACTGTAGCCCACGGAGACATTGCACACCACACTCTGTCCAAGCCTTCGATCGGATGTTGGGGTACATGGTGGCTCTGCAGGAGATGTTAGATTGCCCAGCCTTGTCCCAGAACATCTCCATCAATGTCACATCTCCACCTGATGGTGAAAAGTCAGGTTTCCCTGAATCGCAGCCACCCGTCATTCGCAGTCAAGCACACAGGATGTTTGTTGGCCTGGGATGGATGGAGTGGTGGTCTCAGGAGTGAGGTGTAGCTGTGGATATCGTAGTAGCTGGTGCACTGAGGTAGCCTTCTGGTGGGTAGTGGGGACCGGTTGTCTGAGAGGTGCGTGGTGTGGTGGTGCTTGTGGAGAGGATGGCAGTTGGAGGTGGGGTGGTTGAGGAGGGGGTTTGTGGTAGATGGGGTGGTGGGTGGAGGGATGGGGTGGTGGTGGTTGAGGATGGGGGTGCTGGTTGGAGGGATGGGGGTGCTGGTTGAGGGAGGGGAGTGGTGGTGGTGGAGGATGGGGCGAATCAGCGCTGGAGGTGTGGTGGGTTGGGAGGGAGGGGGTGGAGTTATGAGGATGGGTGGCGTGTGAGGGATGGGGTGGATGTTGGAGGGATGGGTGTGTTGGAGGTTGGGGGTTGGTTGGAGGATTGAGGGTGAAGTGTGGTTGGAGGGATGGGGGTGTGGTGGTTGGAGGGATAGGGTGGGGTTGAGGGATGGGGGTGGTGGTGGTTGGGGGTGGGGTGTTGGTGGTGGAGGTGGGTGGGGTGTGGTGGAGGGATGGGGGTGGTGGTTGGAGGATGGGTGTGTGGTTGAGGGATGGGGGTGGTCTGGTTGAAGGGAGGGGTGTGCGTTGGAGCTGGGGTGGTGGTGGTTGAGGGTGGGGTGTGCTGGTTGAGGATGGGTGGTTGGTTGAGGGATGGTGGTGGTGGCTTAGGGAGGGGGGTGGTGCTGGTTGGAGGGATGGGGTGGTCGTGGTCTGGGGATGGGGGTGGTGGTGGTGGAGATGGGGGTGCTGGTTGGAGGGATGGGGGTGGCGTTGAGAAGGGAGTGGCGGTTGAGGATGGGGGTGGTGGTTGGAGGATGGGGGTGGTCGTGTTGGACAGGATGGGGGTGCTGGTTGGGATGGGGGTGTGGTTGAGGGATTGGGGTGGTGTGGAGATGGGGTGGTGGTGTGGAGGGATGGGTGCTGGTTTGGAGGATGGAGTGTGGTTGGAGGATGGGGGTGTGGTTGAGGGATGGGGGGTGGGTGAGGGATGGGGTGGTGGTGGTTGGAGGGAGGTGGTGGTGTTGAGGGATGGTGGTGGGTGGGATGGCGGCTGGTGAGGGAATGG